ATGCATATCCATACATATATTTGTTGTCATATTTTTTTTCATTAAAGGTTATTACAAGATATTGAATATAGTTCCCTGTGCTATATAAAAGAAACTTTTTAAAAATCTATTTTTATGTATAGTGGCTAACATTTTCAAATCTCAAACTCCTAAATTTATCCCTTCCCACTCCCTTTCCCCTGGTAACCATAAGACTGTTTACTATGTCTGCTAGTCTGTTTCTGTTTTTTTTGTTTGTTTGTTTGTTTCTGTTTTGTAGATGAGCTTATTAGTGTCTTCTTTTTTCCTTTTTTTAGGTTCCACATATGAGTGATACATGGATTTTTCTTTCTCTTTCTGGCTTACTTCACTTAGAATGACAATCTCCAGGTTCATCCCTGTCCTTATGCCCCTTTCTAGTCAATCCTCGTCCGTTAGCAACCACTGATTTTTTTTCCCCCAATATGTCATGTAAATAGAATCATACAGTCTTTTACAGCATTTATTTCCACTTATTTTTATTATTTAAAAAGATTTTTGTGCTGTACACTAGAAATTGACACATTGTAACTGACTACTTCAATAAAAAAATTAGCAAACTGAATTAAGAAATGTTACTAAACTTTTTTTTTTATGAACGGTACAGTTTTATATGGGGCTTAGATTTGTAAACTAGGGGTATGTGTGTGTGCGAAGAAGAAATATATCATAAGGTAAAAAAAATTTAAGCAGTCCCAAAGAGTAAAAATAATTAGTTGTTATTCACATTTTCACTTCTGATTCCTTCTCTGGAAGCAACCATCATTTCTGAGTGTCCTTTCAGAAATGCAGATGTATATAAATATAATAAATATATATAAAATCACTTGCACACACACATGCATATTCTAGTCACACTGCCCTTCACTTTGTTTTTTTGATTTAATATATTCTGGAGATTGATTTACATCAACACTTGTAGACGGACAGGTTGTTGAATTCACGGCGGCATATGTATCTACTACAATTGACTTAGCCACTCCTCTGCAATGAATGTTGGTTTTTCTGCAGTCTTTCACTACGGCAAACAATGAACTGAAAGTTATCACTTTCTTAGTAAACAAACGAAATAATACACAGGTTGCATATGAGCTTTCTATAGCTGTAATTTCAGGATAGAACCCATTTTGTTCTTTGCCTTTTTTGTACTTAACGTCTTACTTCTCCTCTTGCTGTCTCCCTCTGCCGGCCCTCCTCCCCTCACCGTTTCCTCCAGGTGAATTTCTATTAATTCTTCACAGCACGTCGATCACAACCCATGCTGGGGAGCTTTCTCTGATTTCACCGGGCTCCTAGTTCTCTCTCAGTATTTCCACCGCGTTAGCAAGGTGGGTTGTGCTGCCGTGATCTTAACGGTGAACTTCTTGTGAGTAGGGCAAGTCTTGTTAATGTGTCTCCAGCTCACAGATGCCAAGGACTAGCAGAGTTAGCATTCAAACACTGCTGTTGTATCAGATTTATATCCTCTATAGATCTAATCATAGAAAAATGTACGTTTCGGGCTTTGAGATTTGTTTTGGTTTTGCTTTTGTTTTTCTCCAACTTGCCTTACAAAATTGTGCACAACGGTGGTATTCTGAAATCAGAAGGTTCCTAAGAATTGCAATGGTAATTGAAAACCTTGACCTTTTGTCCTGGTTATGTCCTAAGACAGGTCCTCTGATCCTAAGTAAACGACTCCTTGCCTCTGTCCTTTAGGTTCTCCAAAGCGCGACGTGAATTTACGCGTTTCCTTCCCGGGCGAAAGCAAAGCTCCGCCTTCTCACCACTCTAAGCCTTGCTCTTCCGATTGACAGTCAATCTGGCCAATCGGCGCGCTGAGGGCGAGCGGGGGCGGGACGGCTGTCCTCCTGGACACATGCGCACTACCCTCGCACCGGAGATGGGTGGCTGCCGTGTTTTGGGCCAAGTTTGGGGTGGCTGGCGGCGAGGTCCCGGTGTCCACGTAGCGCCCGGGACCGCAGGCTTTGCCACCAAGGCCCGGTGATTACCTACCTCTCCCTTCAAATAGGAGGGAGACTGGGCCGGGAGAGGGTGCATGCGGAATCTGGAGTTAGGAAGATAGGGGTTCTAATCCAGCTCTGCTGTGTGACTCTAAACTAGTCAGTTGGCCTCTCTTAGCCCCAACTCTCTCCTCTGTGCAATGGGGCCAGTCGAACCTGAGTCTTCGGGAAGCTCAACCAGGGCTTTCCGAAGCATCTGTAGGAGGCTGCGGGATTTGGGAAGAGATGTGTGGAGTTAAGAATGGGCGGCACATCGGGAAGCAGTGACTCCCCTGTTACTTACCCTACCTTTTCCAGGCATCAGCTGCAACCTCGAGGCTCCAGCAAATGGTTCCGACCCGTGGGGAACCAGCCTTTCCCTGGGCTGCTGCGGCCAGAGAGCCTCAGTCGGGAGGAGCTGGTTGACGTACTGAAGGTAGCTGTAGTGGACCAAAAAGGTGAGAGGTGGGAGGGACAGCTGCAGAGACCCAGAAGGGGCGCGGCCTTCACCTGACCCTCCTGGGGACTTGGCTGGGCTCCCTCCTAAAGACTTTGGGGTCAAATCCTGGGAGCTGGGACCAGCCACATAATCTCTCTGTGCCTCTGCATCATGGGGAACGGGGTGTGGGATGGGAGAGTTGGGGAGAGATGAGCTTTGCATATAGTAGGCACTCTATAATGGGAATTGCCCCCAATAAAGTGTTTATTGACGCTATGGAGTCATATCTAGGCTCTGGAGTCAGTTTGTAATCCCATTTCAGTGGGAGAAAATGATTAACCAGGAAATAAATGATCAAGGTACTTACTAGTGATGAGGGCTATGATTAAAACAGGGTGTTACCATGGTGAGGAACTGCAGGAGAGGAGCAGACAGTAGATTGAGGAGTCAGGCCTCTTTGTGATGGTGACATTTGAAGAGCCAGCCATGTAAAAACCTAGGGGAGAGGAAACAGCAAGTGCAAGGGCCCTGAGGTGGCAGGCAGCACGTTTAAAAAGAGACAGAAAGTTCAGTTCAGGGTGTGGTTGATAACTCATGTCTGAGAGGTATAGTGGGACCATATGGTAATATGAAATGAGAAAGTCCTTTGTTAAGTACTGCTTTTGCTGTTACTGATATTTATGTAACACATGTTTCAGGACCTCTGGTGACGTTGAACAAGCCACAGGGTCTGCCAGTGACAGGTATGCGGAAGGGAAGGAGACACAGTCAATGGGGTCTTGATGTCTCTAAGGAAGGAAGTAGTGAAGAGACGGGATAGTGGGATACAGTTGCCTTTGGGAGCAACTTGTCCTTTTTCTTCTTTTTTTCCCCCAGGAAAACCAGGAGAGCTGACGTTGCTCTCAGTGCTACCGGAACTGAGCCAGTCCCTGGGGCTCGGGGAGAAGGAGCTCCAGGTTGTCCGAGCATCTGGGAAGTAAGTGGTAGGGGTGATAAGAAGGCAGGAGGATGCCTACCTATCTGGGATGGGGGCATAGCTGCTTGGGAATAAACAGACATTTTCCATGGTTTGGTGTGGGATCACAGAGGTGGGATACAAGGAAAAGGAGGAAGAAGTGGACAGATCTGGGTTCAAATCCTTCTGCACAAACTGTAATCTTAGGTAAAGCGTGAACCCTCACTGAGCCTCAGCTTCCTTAATCATAAAATGGAACTAATAATACCTATGCTCAGTGTGTGGTCACTTCTCCAACCCCATACTCCTGGCAGGCACTACTGATTGATCCATGATGTTCTTTCCTCTAATTGCCATCAGTTAGAGATGGTGCTTGAAATGACATGTTTTTGCAGTTCTGTGAACTCATGGGCTCGTTTGTGGGGATATAATAGAGTGCCTAGCATGTGGCAGACACTCAGCAATTGGTGGTAATTGTCATTTGGCCCTGAACTCCCTGGGGGCCAGGGCAAAATGAGAAACACATTTAAGCTAGGCAATCTTATTATCAGACACGGGGAAGACTTACTTGTTTCTCAGGAAGACGTCTGGGTTATAGTCCTGGTGTTACTGCCTTAAGCAGATCAGTGTTTCTTCCTGGGGGGGGGGGCCTCCTTTTTTTGTGGGTGAGCCCAAGTGATTTAAACTTGTGATTTGTCTCCCTCCTCCAGGGAGACCTCTGGACTCGTACTCCTCTCCAGTTGTCCCCAGACAGCAAGCCGCCTCCAGAAGTTCTTCACCCACTCACAGAGAGCTGGGAGACCCACAGCCACCTACTTGGTGAGAGGAGTTGGGAGGTTCCAGGGCAGTGGGAGGTTCCAGCAAGCCACTCGACGACCTCCTCCTGCCTCTCTCTCAGTGCCGTCACTGATGGGATCCCCGCTACTTCTGAGGGGAAGATCCGAGCAGCTCTGAAACTGGAACATATGGATGGGGTCAATCTTGTAAGTCAGGGTCTGGGTGGGAAGAGGAGACATATTACCCCTACTGAGGAGTCAAGGGTATAGAACTTGGGGTGGCTGGCCCTCCAGTTCCCTGGAGTGACCACTGCCTATTCTGTGGCCCTGTCCTGAGTCTGTTGGGAGCAGGGAGGATCTGGGGGTAGCTCCCAGGTGTGTGTGAAGCGCGTTCATTCCTGGGGGCTGACCCTACAGGTAGTTCCAGTGAAGTCCCCATCCCGAAAGGACATTGTGGAAGGTGTCAAGAAAACCATCAGCCACTTCCGTGTAGTGGCCACAAGCTCTGGCTGTGCCCTGGTCCAGCTGCAGCCACTGACAGGTGGGTCTGGGGCCCCAGCCAGACGTGACAGCTGTATTTGGCTGGGGGATGCAGAGGGTGGGAGGAAGGTGGTGGTTTCGGCGGCAGACTGGGGAACACCTGATGGACCGTAAGGGTGTGTGTGACCAGCTCTGGCCAAGGAGGCCACACTTCTGCTGTCCGTCTGATGGTCACCCTTTTGCAGCTAAATATTTTTCTCTTATTGATCTCAGGATCCTCTTTTTGCCTTTGGTGTTCTGTAGGTTGACTATGCTGAATCCAAGTGTGTGGGTTTAGTTTTATCTGTCTTGCTTGGGATTCATGACGCCTCCCGAATCTGTAGATGACTGTGCTCCATCAGTCCTGGAATGTTCTTTCTTCAAATGTTGTGCCTCTCGCATTCCCTGGTCTCTCCTTTTGAATGTCTGACAGGTCTGACCTTGACCTTCTCCGTCTACTCGCTGTATCTCTTTTCACCTTTTTTTTTTTAATCTCTGCTGTATTTTGGGTAATCTTTTTCTTTTGGTGTGGGGTGGTCCTTGATTTTTTTTTAAGTTTTTTAATGAAGGTGCTGAGGACTGAACCCAGCACCTCACACATGCTAAGCATGCGCCCACCCCTGAGCTGTACTGGCTGATTAGCCTCCCCGCTGGATTCTGGGTAATCTTTAGATCTGTCTTCCAGGTGAGTAGGTTTCTCTTCAGTTGGATCTAACCCACCAGGTTAACTTACCTATTGACTGTATTTTCACATACGTGAAACATTTCGTACCATGTAAGTTTCCCCAAACCAGTTCAAGTTGGTGTAAACCAAAAAAGGGAATTTATTGGCTCACATAACTTAAAGTTCAGGCCTGGCTGCATCCAGAGGCTCAGAGGACGTCACCAGGAAGCTTTTTCTGCATCTCTTCTTGTCTCCTGCGTGCTGGCTTCTTCCTCCCACAGGCTCTGCCCCGTGGAGGCTGGGGTGGCAGGCTCGCAGCAGCTCCACGCTCACACCCCACCAGTGTCGCACCCTGGCAGGAGTGTTCCTCATTCCGGGTAGCGTCACGATAAATTCAGGGCTGCGTCTCTTCATGAACGAATCCCGCAGGGCCGGTGGATTGACAGCTCTGCCTGTCCAGAGTTGGTCATGCATCCCGCTCCAGAGGCAGAGGCGGCAGCGTCCGCCTCACTCACGTGTTGTTTAACATGATCTGAGAATGGGGTGGCACTTCCCCAGAAGAAAGGGGAGGGACAATACTGGGTGGGACAGACAGAGTCACTGCCTGCCATCTGTCCATCTCTCCTGTCCTCTAGCGTTTCCCAGCCAGCTGCCGGTACACATGGTACTAGAGCTCTGCCCTGTGCTTGGGGACCACACGTACTCTGCCCGCGTGGGCACTGTCCTGGGCCAGCGCTTTCTGCTGCCAGTTGAGAGCACCAAGCCCCGAAGACAGGTACTTAAGCCCCACTGCCTGCTGCCTTCTGGGAGTGGGGTGGGCAAGGGGATGCACAGCATCTCTAGATACTAGCCATGCAGCTTGGGCGTCCAAGGCTATGTGTAGCTCTGTTGTGCTGTGTGGCCTTGAGCAAGTGACACTCCCTCTCTTAAGTTGCATCTGCCCATCTGTTCAATAAGGAAGTTGTACTGGCTGATTTCTAAAGGCCCTTCTAAGTCTGCCATTCTTTTCGGTACAAGAGCTAAGAGAGGTTGTGTATTTGGGTAACTCTAGCTGTTCTAACAGAATAACCCCAAGTTCCATGGTCTTATTAACACAATAATTTCCTTCCATGTAAGTCCAGTCACTGGGGGTGGGGTAGGGATGGGCTTTGCTCCAAGCAGTCACGCAGGGACGCAGGCTGTTGCTGTCCAGACAGCAGATGAGGAGAGACAGGGCAGGCTCATGTGGGAGGTTTCCTCGGGCCAGGTCTGGGAGTGCCATACCTACCTGTACTCCCGTTCCATTGCGAGCTCAGTCACATGGCCTCACCAACCTGTGAGAGGGGCAGGGGGATGGAGTTTAGTCAAATGCCCAGGAGGCGGATTTGGTGAACCCCGAGCCAGTCCCTGCCATAGTGAGTGTGTGTGTGAGTGTGTGGGTGTGTGTGGACAGAGGTGATGAAGAACATGGATGTGGACAGAGGGAGGAAGTACTTGCCTCCCTTGCAGTTTGCTCTGAGATGCTGGCAACTCACCTGGCTGAATGCTGACATGTCTCTCCCATCCCAGGTCCTGGATGAAGCCCTCCTCAGACGCCTCCGCCTGACCCCCTCCCAGGCTGCCCAGCTGCCCCTGCACCTCCACCTGCATCGTCTCCACCTCCCGGGCGCCAGGCCCCAGGATGCACCCATCGAGCTTCTGGCACCTCTGCCCTCTTACTTCTCCAGGACCCTGCAGTGCCTGGGGCTCCACTACCAATAGTCCCCCTTCTCTTCTTGCTGTTCCCACTGGAAGGCAGGTGGGGGGGGTGGGAGGATGGGCTGTGGTCAGGCCTGAGGAGAGGGAGGTCAGTGCCCAACACGCAGTAAGGCCATGGTGAGATCCTGGGCTCTGGCATTGGACAAACCTAAGAGATCGCATCCTGGCCAGGTCACCTGCTGTGTGGTGTTGGGCACATGACTTTACCTCTCTGGACTTGAGATAATAAAAGTACCTACCTCATATTATCATTTTGAGGATTTGCTGAGAAAGTAAATGTTTATCATGGACTGTGCTTTCTGCTGAGTTCAATATGTGGTTGTTAAAGCTGGCTGTTTCTGTCCCAATGCTGGCTAAGAGAAAATGTTAGATTTTAAAATTGTAACAAAATGTACCATCTTAACCATTTTTATGTGTACAGGTCAGTGGCATTAAGTACATTCAATTCAACCATCACCACCATCCAACTCCAGAACTCTTTTCATCTTGCAGAACTGAGACTGTCCCCATTAGACACTAACTCCCCAATCCCCCTCCACCCCCAGCTCCTAGAAGCTACCATTCTCCTTTGTCCCTATGGATTTGACCACTCTCAGGACCTCATGTAACTGAAGATGTTAAATCTGGGGCTGACACCCCCCACCCCCCGCAAAAAAAGATGACACTCATGTAACCATCACTCAGTACAGAGTAGAAGCATCCTTCTCTCTTAACAAACAGCAGTTCTCAACCCTCGCCCTACATTAGAACCCCCTCCCTTGCCCATTCAGGAAGCTAAAGAAAAAACTCCCCACGCCCCCACCCCAAAGATGCTGGTTTAATGGTCTAGATGGAGACTCTGGCATCAAATCTTTTTAAAAAGCTCTGGAAGGGGTTCTATTGTTCAATCTTGGGTAGAAACCACTGCCCTGACTTGAGAGGATTCTTTCCTCACTTGCTTTTTAAAGTTTTACCACATACATGAGTCCCTAAACGGTGTATTTCATTTTGCCTGTTTCCGAGGTTTCCGCAGAATGGCGTTGTGCTGCGTATTCTTTTGTGATTTGTTCTCCCTGCACTGTGAGGCGCATCTGTTGTGCAGCTGGAGTTGGAACTCCAGAGTTTGCACGTACCGCGGTTTTTCCCTTCGACTGTTAGTAGACACTGAGGCCGTCAGTTTTTACCAGTGCGGCTGTGAGCCTGCGTGTACGCGTTTCCTGGCTTAGCTGTGCAAGAATGTCCAGATCAGAGGAGCTGTATCTTCCTTTGACTAGTGTGTTAGTTTCCCAGGGCTAATCTAACAAACTACCACAACCTGAGTGGCTTAAGGCAATAAAAATGGATTCTCTCCTACTCTGGAGGCCGGAAGTCAGAAATCAAGGTGCTGACAGGGCTGTGCTCTTCCTGAAGGCTCTAAGAGAGAATCCTGTCTTGCCTCTTCCAGCTTCTGGTGGCTCCAAGCATCTCTTGGCTTGTGGCTGCATCACACTTACCTCTGCCTCCAACTGCACATGGCCTCCTCATTTGTGTCTTCTATTCTCTTAGAAGGACACTTGTCCTGGGATTTAGGGCCCATCCAGATAATCCAGGATGATCGCATCTCAAAACCTTCAAGTTTCTTACATCTGCAAAGACCCCTTTTCCAAATAAAGTCACAGTCACAGGTTCCAAGAAGACATATCTTTCTAGAGGGCCGGGAGTGGGAGGTACCAAACCATTCAACCCATTACAACTTAGAAATACCAAAGTTTTTCAGATGGCCGTGGCTGGTTGGCTATTTCCTTTTTAGGTAACCTTGGCCCCTTGCTGAGGAAGGGACAGACCCACTTCCTTTGGGGATGGGCTGGAGTTGAAAAAGGTCTATGCTTCCCTGCTGTGAAATCTCATGCCCATTAGATGTCTTTCTGCTGCCAGCCCAGCCCCTCCTCTGGGCTCAGGGACTGGGGAGACTCCCAGTGGTCAGCAGTCCTGGTGAAGCGTCCCAGCCTTCTGCTCACTGTCATGCGATACTGGGAAAGGCGTGTCTCCTCGTGCAGGCTGTCTCCATCTGTACCATGAGGCTTAGCCCCCCACCCAGAGATCAGACACGCCAGGGGAGTTCCTGAACAGGGTGCCCCATGTCTGTCGCTCGGTGGGAGTTCTGGGCCTTGCTTCATGGAGGAGTTACTGATGGTCTCCAGCTCTTGTTCTGGACCTTGGGGTACCGAGCCCCACCCTACCCTCTCTTCACCCTCCTGCAGAAAGGGAGCCAAACCTCAAATATGTCACTCGCTCTTTTTTATTTGGTGCTGCATCCAGGAAAGGGGCAGTGAGGACCGAAGCAAGGGCTTCTGTAACCACACGTCCCTCAGGCCCCCCAGCCCCTGGTGTGCACTGATAAAGGCCAGGGGTCCCGGAAGGCTCAGTGTCTTCACAAGGCATGCCTCAGCCTTGGGTTTGTCACAGAGTCTGGCCTTGAACTTGCCTTTGGCCTTGATCTCCCTATGGGTGCTAGGAAGATTTCCGACTTCACAGGGTTGAGGCCACAAGTTACTTCCAAGTTGGGGACCATGAAGGCGCTGGGGAGCAACAGCCTCGGTGCGAAAAGGAGGGGAGAAGGGGGAGAGATGATCAGGACTCTGTCCAGGAAGAGGGTTCTGAGGGATGCAAGCCCTTCCCTTGGGGCTCAGGCCAGTCTGGGAGCTGCCCTCTACCTGTGCCCTCCAGCCCTGATCCCGGTACTCGGCACTGCCCGCCAGGGTGCGGGTCAGATTTCAAGGCCCACCTTTCTTGGTTTCAGGACGTTGGAGGCCAGCTTGAGCTCAGGGTTGGGTGGGAGGGAAATCAAAACCTTGGCAGTAGGTAGAGTCATCAAGGCCTTGCGTGTGGTCGACAGGGCCTTAGAGCCCACCAGCTTGCTGTGCTGCAGTCCGAGGCCCCGCCCCTGGGGTCGGAGCCCACGGGGAGAAGGCAGCCGGGCCTTGGTGTGGAGGCTGGGAAAGTGGTTAGGGGCTGTGGGAGCAAGAGGGGCCATGAGGGCCTGGGGAGGACCCAAGGCTGGCCAGCTGCCCCTTAAGGTGTGCACGGAGAGCAGGGAGGCCGAGGGAGCTGAAGGCTGGGGCGTGTGCGGGCACGTGGAACCCTCCCGGTTCCTCCTCCAGAGCCGTGGGAAGCACACAGGGTTTGGAGTTCAACAGACCTGGTGCTGGCTGCATCCCAGCTCTGCCCCTTCTGAGCTGTGCAACCTCGGGCAACTTCCTTAAGCTTCCTGATACCTCGGCTGGGGATAATCGCACCTACCTCGCTAGCTTGTGAGGACTAACGGAGCTGGTAGGTAGCGGCACAGTGTGAACCGCTAAGTGCTGTACAAACAGAGCTCCTCTCCCCCAGAGGTGACTTTGCATGGAGGCAGAGACAGAGCACTGCAGCAGGAAAAGCTCTGGGCTCTGGAGAGATATCAGCCTGGGGCTGAGTCCTGGAAGGCAGCACAACTGCCTTGCTCAGTGACTACTTGGGAGGGGACAATACTCACTTGACAGTGGATTTTTAAAAAATACTTTGGAAGTGGTGGCTTTTACTTAGTACCGGTGGCTGTGTGGTGGGGCTATGGGTGGGGGCAAATCCAGGCGGTCAGGAGAGGCCTGGAGAGCAGGAAGAAATTGCCTTGGGACCCTGGGGTGTTTTGGGGGAGTGGTCTGACCCAGGGCCTGGGGGTTCTTCAGACTCAATGGCAATCTGTTCAAGGGGTGGGGATGCCTGTCCCCACCAGCAAAGGCCAAGGTGAAAATGCAGCCCATCCTCAAGCCATAGGGGTCCCACTTCTGGAGATTGGGGCGGACCAGGGCTGTGGCACTTTTCGCCTTGCCTTTCTTTCCCTTTCCAGGGGCCGAGGTGGTGGCAGTGGAGTCTGGCTTCTCAGTGTGCCCCAGGCTCCTGGCCCCAGCTACTTTCCTAGAAGCTGACCTGTGCGGAAGGGTCCCCGAGTCCTTGCCTTCCCCAGAGCCTCGCTGGGTCAGCAGGTGAGGGAGGGTGGGGTGGACCGCTATCCGCCGGTGACACATTGCCAGTGGCTTCTTGATGGTGGAGCCCTCTACCAGAAGCCGGATACCCACATACTGGGGCACCTCCACGGCAGGCTGTGGAGAAGAAGAGGAGACAAGGCCGGCTCAGACAATGTGCTGGCATCCTGAGCCAAGAAGGACTTGGGGCAGAGAGAGATGGAATTAATATCTGGGGCATCTGGTCAGGAGACATTTCTGAGACATTTCCCATGTCTCAGCCCATCTCTGTTCTCTAAGGAGTCTGGCCTTAGAGGATTGATTCCAGTCAGTACCTGGAGGGTCACAGAGCCCTGGGATGAGCAACCCAGAGGAGTAGGGGAGTCTTAGCCACGCACCCACCTGCACCCCTCCACCCCTGCCCTCCTAAACTGCCTGGGTGCTGCTGGAATGTGTGTGTTCCCCTCCACAGGCCACTGACGGACAGCCCCCTGAGATGAGCCAGGTTCTCTGTTGAGAGAAGGAGTTATGACAACCAGAAGGATAAGAGGCCTGGAGTCTGCCTAAATCCTCGTGTGAACCCAAGACATGGGGAAGCAGAAACAAGGAGCCTTAAAGAAGGCAATCTGTGGAGAGAATGAAGTAGCAAGTATGCAGAGGGAGGCAGAGAAAAATGTCCAAGAAAAGAGCTCCTATTCCATTTTCAGTTCCTATTAAGCCAAGCTTTTCAGCCAAGCTGTAAGAGCTCCCTGTGTCTCATTAGGAACCCTCTTTTTAACCTGGGGTTAGTTTGCAGTATTTTCTGTGTCATCAAAGGATCCTGATTAGAATCTATCTAAACATCAGAGTCACTTGGAGGTTGTGAAAAAGACAGATATCAGAGCTCACGGAAAGTCAGTTGATGAGGAAAAGCTCATCATTATGGAAGAATCTCAGCTAACAAATGTAGAAGGAATGACAGAATTAGAAATTTGCCATTTTGCAACTCTCCAACAGGCAAGAATCAAAACTGAATATCAAAACAAGTAGGTAAAAAGGATGACAGGAAAATGTGTCATCTGCACATCACCAAGGAATCACCTGAAAAAGAAACTGATCCTGACAAAGAGGAAGACACAACTTACAATGGAGAGAGCTGGTAGCTACCACCTTAACCTCATGATCAGACTTAGCATCACTAATCATGAGACACTCCAACAGTGTGTGCCTCGTGATGCTGAAAGAGGTACCCAGTATCACCTCTCAAGTGTTCTTGCCAAAAAATGTGCAATCTGAACCACCTCAAGCTGTTCGACCTAACTTCTAGTTTATAGGACATTCAGATAACAGAATAAAAAGCTAAATACTATCAAGAGGAAATAATCAGATAAATCCAGAATGTGGGACAGTTCCATAAAGCAACCAGCCTGGACCCTTGAAAAGATCCAATGCGGGGGTGGGGGGGGGGAGCTGTAGGACTGTTCTAAGTTAAAAGAGACTAAAGAGCATCAAAAAGAATAAAATACCTAGGAATAAATTAAACCAAGGAGGCAAAAGTACACTGAAAACTATGAGATACTGATAGAAGAAATTGAAGAAGACACACACACACGAAACCCAGAAAGGTATTTCGTGCTCTTGGACTGGAAGAATTAATATTATTAAAATGTTCATACCACCCAAAGGAATCTATAGAGGCAGTGCAATCCCTATCAAAATTCCAATGGCATTTTTCACAAAAATAGAAAAAGCAGTCCTAAAATAGGCATGGATGTACAGAACCACATAAGAACCCAACTAGCCAAAGAAATCTTGAGTGCACATGAAACATTCTCTAGGACAGATTGCGTACTTGGGCACAAAAGAAGCCTCAACAAATGTAAGAGGACAGAAATTATTTCAAGCATCTTTTCTGACCACAATGCTATGAAACTGGACATTAACTATAGAAAAACAATGAGAAAAAAACCGACAGCATGGAGACTAAACAACATGCTACTAAAAAGCCAATGTGACAGTGATGAAATCAACAAAGAAATTAAAAATACTGTGAGATAAAAGACCAAATGACAATGAAAACACAACCACACAAATGCTGTGGGATGCAGCAAAAGCAGTGCAAGAGGGAAGTTCATAGAGATAGACTTTCCTCAAAAAACAAAAGTAATCTCAAATAAACAACTTAATCTACCACCTAAAAGAGTTAGAACAAGAAGATCAAACAAAACCCAAAGTTAGCAGAAGGAAAGAAATAATAAAGATCAGGAAGGAAATAAATCAAAGAGACATTAAAAAAACAACAGAAAAAAATTCATCAAACCAAGAGCTGGTTTTTTGAAAGAGTAAACAAAATCGACAAACCTCTGGCTAGGTTCACCAAGAAGAAAAGAGAGAGGACACAAACAAAGAAAATAAGAAAGGAAAAGGGAGAAATTACAACCAATACTAAAGAAATAGAAAAAAATCATAAGAATACTATGAATAACTATATGGAAACAGATTGGACAATCTAGAAGAAATGGACAAGTTTTTGGAAACATACAGTCCACCAAGACTAAATCAAGAAGAAACAGACCACTTGAACAGACCAATCACTAAAGATGAAATCGAATCAGCAATAAAAACAAAAACCTCCCTATAAACAAGTCAGTACCAGATGACTTCACTGGGGAATTCTACCAAACATATAAAGAAGAATTCATACCAATCCTTTTCAAACTCTGCCAAAAGATTGAAAATGAGGGAGTATTCCCAAACTCATTCTATGAAGCCACCATCACCCTGATACCAAAAACAAAGACACTCCCAAGAAAGAGGATTACAGGCCAATATCACTGATGAACGTAGATGCAAAAATCCTCAACAAAATATCAGCAAACAGAATCCAACAACACATAAAAAAGATCATACACAATAATCTAGTTGGATTCATCCCAGGGACACAAGGATGGTTCAACATATGCAAATCAATCAATACAATACACCACATCAACAACAAAAAAAGGACAAAAATCACATGATCATCTCAATAGATGCAGAAAAAGCATTTGGCAAAATTCAACATGCATTTATGATAAGAAGTCTCACCGAAGTGGGTACAGAGGGAATATATCTCAATATAATAAAAGCTATTTATGACAAACTTACAGCCAGCATAATACTCAATGGTGAAAAACTGAAAGCCTTCCCACTAAAATTTGGAAGAAGACAAGGATGCCCACTCTCATCACTTCTATTCCACATGTTCCTGGAAGAGGGAGGATGACTCTGGGTTGAAGTGAGATCCCAACGAATGGAAGCAATAGCCATGGAGAACTCCCAGGAAGTTAACAATGGGTCCTAAGAGCAAAAGCAGGATTATGTGCCAGGCTGGATTTCACAACTTTATGGACCAATGATTCCTGTGTACTTCCCACCCTGCCTCTCCTTTCTGAGTAGGAGTGTCTACTTAAAAAAAAGAGATGACAAAACTACAGTGAGGTATCACCTCACACCAGTCAGAATGGCCATCATTCCAAAGTCCACAAATGACAAATGCTGGAGAGGCTGTGGAGAAAAGGGAACCCTCCTACAGGGCTGGTGGGAATGCAGTTTGGTGCAGCCACTGTGGAAAACAGTATGGAGATTCCTCAAAAGACTAGGAATAGACTTACCATATGACCCAGGAATCCCGCTCCTGGGCATACATCCAGAAGGAACCCTATTTCAAAAAGACACCTGCACCCCAATATTCATAGCAGCACCATTTACAATAGCCAAGACATGGAAACAACCTAAATGTCCATCAACAGATGACTGGATAAAGAAGATGTGGTATATTTATACAATGGAATACTATTCAACCATAAAAAAACAACAACATAAAGCCATTTGCAGCAACATAGATGTCCCTGGAGAACGTCATTCTAAGTGAAGTAAGCCAGAAAGAAAAAGAAAAATACCATATGAGATCGCTCATATGTGGAATCTAAAAAAAAAGAAAAGAAAAAGAACAGAAATACAAAACAGAAACAGACTCATAGACATAGAATACAAACTTGTGGTTGCCAAGGGGGTGGGGGGTGGGAAGGGACAGACTGGGATTTCAAAATGTAGAATAGATAAACAGGGTTATACTGTATAGCACAGGGAAATATATGCAAGGTCTTGTGGTAGCTCACAGCGAAAAAAATATGACAATGAATATATGTATGTTCATGTATAACTGAAAAATTGTGCTCTACACTGGAATTTGACACAACATTGTAAAATGACTATAACTCAATAAAAAAATTTTTTAAAAAACAGATGAAAGAGACAAAACAACCAAGGCTAAGTGTGAATCCTGATTACAAATGGTTCACAAAACAAAATAAAAAAGAGTTAGCTATAAGAGATTTGTGGAATAACTAGCACATTTGAAAAATGCAGATGCATAGTCCCTAAACCAGTCATTTCCGGCCAATCTCGGGGGGGTGGGGCTTCCTGACATCAGTATCTTTGGAAAGCTTTCCAGGCGATTCTGGTCTGTGAACCAGCATTTGGGAACCACTGCCTTAGAACGTTCTCTTTTCCTTTGGCTTTATCTTATTTTCCTGTTGTTATATTTCCCCCTTTATATTGTTTGAAGCCAAAATGCCAAAGTCTCAATTTAAGATACAATCAGTAACTGTGACAGAGACCAGGACACTAGTGTCATGAAATCAGTCAGCACGTTCTCTGCTGTGGTCAGACTTTGATGGAAGCAGAACCCTAACCAGAGGCTTAGGACACTTAATTTAACTGCCTCAAGGAATTATTTGCAGAGCTTGGAAACCCCTGAAATTGGTTTTCTGACTGATTTTTAAAAATATTATTCTATTCTGATAAGTGGACTCCATTCTCTTTTTGGAACAAGGTGAGTAAAATAATAGTAATAATAATAATAATAATAATAGCAGCTTCCTCTAATTGACACTTGCTGTATGTGAGGCACATTACAGCTACGGCATTCGCCGTCAAACATCTAACATCTTATTAGGTACCAACAATAGCTAAAACCTGTATAGCATTTAACTGTGTGCCAGGCACTTTCTAAGTGCTTTATCTGTATCAACTCCTTTAATTTTCACAACCTTCTGAGGTAAGTACCATTTTCATTCCTGCTCTACAGATGAGGAAACTGAAACCCCTAGAGGTTAGGAAGTTGAGCAGAGACTTGAACCCAGGAAAGTTTCAGAGTCAATGCTTTTAACAGTGTGCTATAGGCCTCTCTAGAAATATTATCCACAAGTGTTAATGCATTTCATCTCCCAAATCCCATGAGAAAGATGGTAACAGAATTCCCATCTTACAGATGGGAAAATGGAGGCCTAAGGGGATGAAGTGGCTGCACCCAGTCACTGTGAGAGGATGAGGACTCTGTGACCGCAGAGCCCTGAGCTTCACTATGGGGTGGCCTGGGAGAGTGGGCAGCCTCCCTGGGTCCTGCCCAGGCCTGGCTACCTTACCTGCTTGTAGATGAGCTCGAAGCCTCCCGTGTCACAATTGCGGTCCAGCCGCCGGTCGATGACCACGCGCAGGGTGTCGGCCTGCACGCCAGCACACAGCTGGGCAGTGACAGCTGTGGAGGGCGCCATGGTGGGGCTGGCGTTGATCTCGATCAGCCAGGGCTGGAAGTCCTCCCCAAACACAAAGTCAGCGCCATAGAGCTCGAAGCTGGCCTTCCGACACTGCACGGTGTCCTGGGAGGTCTGCAGGGCATGGATCACCGCGGCCTTCATGCCAGGCACGATGACGGTGGACCAAGCGTTCGGGGCCCCCATCTCCTGTAGGTGGGCCTGGAACTTCTGGCTTGACCACATGTTGTCTGAAGGCAGCAGCGGGTGCCGATGGCATGAATTCTCCAGGTGCTTCTGGATGGAGTTGTTGCACAGGTGCACAGAGCTGGAACGGGAGAAGAGAGCTGAGGGCTGGCCCCCTAGGGCCCTCCCACCCAAATGTGGGGAGGGCAAGCCAACCCCAGAAGCAGCCCTGCACACCCTGGACCATTCAACTTGAGGCGGGGCCCTACTGGGGAGGACAAGGAGGACAAAGGTCCATCACATTCTTCTAGGGCCACAACCCGTCTGCTCTGAGGGCCTCTCCGGGGGCACTAACTATGGGGGCCACTGTGTTAAGCGCTTTGTGACAGTGTCAGTTTTCCCTCCCAGTGCCTGGAAGATAAGAAGGTGGCTAAGAGTAAGGGCCTTATAGTCACCAAGACCTGTGCTCAAGCCCTATCTTCATCACCGACTGGTAAGATGTGATGCAAGTCATTTAACCTGAGTACTCCTTCCACATCTGTAGAATGGGGGTACCAACAGTACCCACTTCACTGGATTTTCATGAACGACTGAGATACTATACATGAAGTGCTTAGCACCTGTCTCACCAGGCACTCAGTAACTGACAGTTCTTAGTTTCCTATCACTGCCTCCATTCTTCAGATGCGGAAACTGAAGCTTAAATGGGTTTTGACTTGACCAAAGTTACAGAGCTTGGAAGCTGCAGAGATGGAATTTGAACACAAGGCTCAACAGGCTTTCTCTCACCCCACAAGTGAATGTTGCAACTTGCCTCTCTCCGCTTGCATTTCTCTGAACCCCTTTACCCAGCTCTGTTTCTTCCATAACACATTATCACCTTTAACCTATTACATGATTTTACTTATTATGTTCATTGCCTGTCTGTTTCTCCCTGCTGGAATGTGAACTCTTGAGAGCTGGGCTCTTGTTTTGTTCACTGTGTCCCAAGTGCCTAGAACAGTGACTGGCACATGGTACGTACTCAGGTGTCTGCTGGATGGAAGGATGGCTGGATGGCTGGATGGCTGGCCTGCCTGCCTGCCTGCAGAGTCTGTTTGGAGCGTTACATGGGAATGACTGTTCCTTGCCAGCTCCCCAACTAGACTGGGGGCTCATGCGAATAGTGGCGAGGCTCACCTGTCCAGGTTCTTCAGGGAGAAGGGCTGTGTGGAGAAGCGGATGTAGCTGTCGCGGTAGAACCACACAGTAAGTGGGTTCCAGTCAGTCACCAGGAACCACTGTCTCAGATCAAACTTGGTGCCAAAGATGAGCAGGGGCCGCTCAATGTACTTCTGCACCACCCACTTGCCATCCTTCATCATCATGGGGTTGCCGTCCACCAGCTTCAGCATCTCCTCCAGGTGGTCCATGCACATGATGCCTAAGGAAGAACCGGAGGGACAAGGGATCAGGTCAGGCTTGGGCTGGGAGATGAGTCAGGCGACTATGAACACAGCTCATCACAAGCTCTCATCCCCACAGAACTGATGGGACCAAGTGGGTAAGACTGCCTTCCTCCTCGTTCCCGTTGGGAAAGATGAGAATCTGCTAAGGATTTAATTTTTTTTTTGATTAACCACTTTTGTTTGATGAAAATAAATAAATGCACAGGCAAAAATTCAAACCCTAATGGGCTTCTTAAAAAACCATGTGCATCTATGACTTTGATGAGGTTTCTCACAATAATTAATGGAATATAAGACAACAGAAACAAAAAGCAGGCAGTACAAAGCATATACAATAAAAAACATCCCTTCCATAGAAGCAGCTAAGTGCTGCTTCCAGGTCTTATGGACACACTCCCAGGTTACGAAAGTCTGTGTGTGCCTCATTTTCATAGGATTCTATGCATTTGAACACGCTAAGGAATTGGAACAGTGCTTGGCACATGGTGAGCATTTAGTAAACGTTAACTCATATCATTCTTATTTGCAGAATTCACGTCTAGTGGTAAATCTGCTGGATCAAAGGGTATGTGTATTTTTCATTTTACATTATCAAAGATGTTTTACCACTTTGCACTCCCAGCAAGAGTATATGAGATTGCGTGTTTGCCCACACCCCACCAACACCTGTGATGATTCCTTTTTGCCATTCTCCAAGGTAGAATGCTATCTTATCTTATCTGTTTTGTAACGAGTGAAGGTAAGTATCTTATGTTAATAAGGCATCACTTTAATGCTGATAACTCCAGTTGACCCTTTGAACAATGCAGGGAATAGGGGCACTACTCCTCTGAGCAGTTAAAAATTCTCTTATAACCTTACAGTCGGCCTTCCGTATCCATGGTTCTATCAGCATGGATTCAGCCAATCACAGACCATGTAGTACAGTAGTTTGTAATCAGTGAAAGTAATCCACATATAAGTGGACCATGCAGTTCAAACCCCTGTTGTTCAAGGGTCTACAGTAGGAATCACAGTGGAAACATATGCACACATTCACAAATCAATCTCACCCTTTACAGTTTGGCCCCCAAAGCAGCCTGATCACCTGCCAAAGGCACAGAATAACTCGTGCCTGCTTCCCAAGCCAGATCCTTTCTCAAATGGCCAGACTGATCACTATTGATCATCCCAATAACATGATGCCTTGTATGGCCAAAGATTAAGACTGTTCATGACCTTTGACCCAGCAATTTAATTTTTAGGAATTCATCCTAAGAAAGTTAAGTGGAAAGACTACTATGATACCTGCACAGGATGTTTATCACAGTGTTGCCTATAATAGCAATTAATCAATCAATAACCAGATAAATAGGAAAAAACCTGGCAGCCATCTAAAGATCCATCAGAAAAGAATTAGGCAGGTAGGGTATAGCTGAAGTGGTAGACTGCATGCTTAGCATGCACGAGGTCCTGGGTTCAATTCCTCAGTACCACGTCTAAAAAATAAATAAATAAACCTAATTACCTTCCCCCCACCGCCAAAAAAAGAATTAGGTACGGATACTAACTACTATATATGAAACAGATAAACAACAAGTTCCCACTGTATGGCACAGGGAATTATATTCAATATCTTATAATAGCCTATAATGAAAAGGAGTATGAAAAGAAATAAATATCTATGTATAACTGAATCTCTATGCTGTACACCAGAAATTAACACAACATTGTAAATCGACTGCACATCAGAAAAAAAAAAAGAACATAGTGAAAGATGGGGGAAAAAAAGAGAAAAGGATCAGGTAAGACCACTAGAATACATCTAAATAAGATTAGACTCTGCAGCTATAAAATAGAATGAGGTAAGAGAGCACATACTGTACTTTCACATACAATTCAAGAACAGGCAACACTAATCTACAGTATTAGTCAGTCAGAATAGGGGTTCCCCTTGTGAGGAGGTACAGACTGGGAGGTGGCATGGGAGGGGGCCGCCTAGGGTACAGGTAATGTTTTATTTCATGATCTGCGTGCTATTTCCAAGAGTGTGTTCACCATGTGACAATTCACTGAGTTGTATATTCACAATGTGTACCCTGATTTTCAATGAAATATATTGCATAAACACTTCCAATTATGTTTTGCTAAAAATGGAGAGAAAACGCTGACACAATCTGAGGCTACGTACATGGAGAGTCATTGTATTCCTCTCTTTGCTTTTGTGTATGTGCGAAGGTGTCCATAACAATAAGCTAAAAACTGGGGAGGGAGGGTGCGGGACGGGGGAGCCGACCTAGATGTACTGAAATGGAGTCATCTCCAAGATCTACTATTAAAGAAAAAAAGATGAGGAGGGGACAGCTCAGCGGTACAGCGTGTGCTCAGGGGTACAGCGTGTGCTCAGCATGCACAAGGTCCTGGGTCTGATCCCCAATACTTCCATTAAAATAAATAAACTTAATTACCTCCTCCCAACAACAAAAACAAAAAACAAAAAACCAAACAAACAAAAAAAATCAAGAAAAAAGAAAGGTGCAAAAAAGAAATGAGTTAATACTAACATAGAAAGATACGATAAATGAGAAAAGGAAGCTACAAGATAGTATGTTCTTGTTTAAAATAAAATAAAACATACATACACTCTCCAGGATGCACAGAAGGAAGTAGAAACCAACAGACCACATGGTGAACAGCAGTTATCTCAGTGAAATCAACAGTACCTTTGCTTGCTTCTCTTTACTTTTCTAGACTGATTTTTTTTTTAATAACAAATACATATTTTCCTACTTGGAAGAAAACCAACAAAACTATTTCCAAGGTAGAAGAAGAAAAGACGATGATGCTGGTTTTGAAGTGACATCCCAAGAGGGATGTCCCACAGTGTGTGGGGCTGCAACAGCTTCACTGGGATGTGAACAAATCCACCCAAGGGCAGCGTTTCGAGTCATCAGCTGCCAAAAGTCTGTTTTCTATGTCTTAGAAGTTCTTAGCCATCTTCTAAAGGCCGTGCTAATACACCACCCCAGCAGGCCGGCTGCCCTGTTCAAATTCCGTTCATGCTGAGCAGTCAGAATAACAGCTAAAAATAATACCACTTGTATACCAGTTACTCTGTAAAAGCACAGGATCTAGGTACTTTCCGTATATGAGACTCATTTCATCCTCTCGGGTAGGTATTACTGGCTTCATTTTACCAATGATGAAAATGGGGCACAGAAGAGGTTAACTAATCTGCCCAGGTCTTAGGGATATAGGAGGCAGAGCTTGGGTTTGAACCCAGAAAGTCAGGCTCCCAGCATTCATACCCTTAACCACTGTACTACACCTCACAAGGATGCACTGGCCAAATCTGAAAGCCTTATATCACAACCAGCTGCACGCGAGTACCACCAGACCTGCCTAAAGCATTAACCCCAGCCCTCAGGGCACGAGAAGGGGAGCTGGCATCATCATCCCAGCAGTGAACACTCACGGGGCGGTTACTGTGCCAGGCACTGTGCTGAGCTGTAGATGCAGTATTTCATCTAATCCTCGCCTCATAGCGGGGATTAACATCATCCCTCACAGATGAAGGATGTGAGGTTCCGAGAAGTGATATAACTTGCTCAGGGTCACACAGCATATTAGTAGCAGAGCTGGGATTCGAACCTAGGCGGTCTGGCTCCAACAGAGCCTGCACTATTAACTTCCCTGGCCTCTAGCTGGGGAGGCAGGCCGTAGGGTGCTAGTACAGGAAGTAGGGGCTGACCCCCACCTCGTCCGCGGGACTTGGCTCCCGGCTTCACGATCCAGACGTTGCGATCTCCTTCCATGTCCATCTGGGGCACCACGGTCCGCAGCTGCTGCAGGATGTCCTCACAGCGCTGGACCTGAGTGTCGAGGTGCCTGAGTTCTGCCCCCTCGCTGTGGGGAGACGATGGGACTTGGGCAGGGCTGGGCCTGAGGACATCCTGGTGGACAAGGCAAGGGGAGACAGGCCCCCCTGGCCATGGTCCAACCAGCTTTGGTCACGCCCTCGCCCTAGAGATCCAGACAGGTCTCTTCCAGACCTCCAACCCCACCCTCGAGCTGTCCCCCAATTTCTACCTTGCCCAGGACACTGGAATGGGAGAGGATGGGGAAATTCCACTCCAACATGCCACCTTGTGCCACCTTCCTTTCTATTAAAACTGCCTTTGGCAGAATTTAATCATATCAGCATCAATGATGAGCCGCCACCATGTGCCAGGCACTGTGCCGAAGGCGTTACATATATTATCACTGATCCACCTCCAGGGAGGTGCTAGTGGTCCCATTTTAGAGAAGTATAAACTGAAGCTTGGAGGGTTAAGGCACTTGCCCAAGGCCACATATTGAGTTAAATGGCTAAGCCAGGATGCAAACTCCATCCTGCCTGATTCTTTCATCCACAGGTGCTTTGGGGTTCATTCCCCTCCTAATCTGAACCAAACACTGTGTAATGGGTAGGTCCCTTCCTCACCTAATTCTTTTTGAGCACATCTGTATCATACATATCCTTGATTTATCTCTCCTCCCATCACCTACACTTACTTGCTGACTGCCTGTTACTGGAAGGTAAGCTCTGTAAGAGCAGGAGCATTTTTTGGAGCTGTTACCGTACACCTGGCACTTATCAGGCACTCCCTAAAAGTGTGTTATTAACGAATGAATGGCTGCTTAAGCAAGTCTTTTGGCAAGAGCTGGCCTCGGCAACTGGGCTGGACAGACAAGGGTTCATGGACAAAGACGGACTCTGTTCCCTACAAAATGTCCTGAACTAAACCAAGTCACAGAATACCCCAGAAGGCTGTCTCAGCCAACCTCTCCCATTTCTTTTCTTCTGACTGAATAGGAAGGAAGCCTCCACTAGACACTGAACGTCTCTTTAACATCTGAGCCTCTGGAGTGTCTCCAGCCATGGAGAACTTCTCTCTCTTCTACTAAGGTGGCAGCAGCGCCGGCCCAGGGACAGCCAGGAGGAAGGGGCGCGGCAAAGCCTCCGACTCACACGGACGTCCTGGCCCCTCTCTTTCCAGAAGGTTTGCTGGAAACTTTTCTGTGGCCGTGGCTTCAAGAATCTGCTCAGCCCACATGTGATATGGCCCAGGGAACTGTCACAGGGTGGTGGCAGGGACACGTGCAATTTGAAAAAGTATATTCAGTATGACAATATGATTTTATATTTAGCAAAACAAAAAACACCCAGTGTTTCTGTGGAAAGTAAACCTTGAAAAAAAGCCTCGCTGGTGAGTCATGGGTTTGTTTTTAAAAGTTGAGAAGCAGCCATAAATACTGAATAAATTAATAGACGCCAACGATCAGTACTAACCAATATAATGCTACATGATGCAATATTTTATGTAATCCTGACTTCTGAGAGGTCCCTCCACCCCTCAACTTGCCCCACATCCAGAAATGCAAAGGACTGACACTCTTTCCTCCTACTGCTCTAACTCAGTCCTGATAATTCTTAATTTAAGAAGGGCATCTTTCTGTTTTCCGGCTGCTAAGGGGACAGTACAGGGTCACCTACTTTTCATTTTCCAGTATTTAAAACAGACACAAACACAGGGGGAGGGTATAGCTCAGTGGTAGAGCGAATGCCGAGCATGCACGGGGTCCTGGGTACAATCCCCAGTACTGCCATTTAAAAAATACATAAATAAACCTAATAATCCCCCTCCCAAATTTTTTTTTAAAAGATACAAATGGATTGTTCATCAGTGACGTGGGTTTGCTTTGTAAGTCATTTGTTCAAAGTTCATTAATTAGTTCTTTGATCTCCACTACAAATCATCCATCCATAGTTCTGTCTGTTCTGTTCTATTAATACCACGCCAGCCAAGGCCCTCAGCAACCCCCGCAGCCTGCTGCAAGCTTCCCCGCTTGAGCTGTGTGCCCTGAGGGCAGGGGCTCGGCTTCACTTCTGGAGCCTGGAGCAATGTCTGACACACAGGAAAGGCTCAGCCAATGCCGAGTAGTGTTCTGCCTTCAGGGCCCTCTTGCCTCGAGTCTCTCCTGCAAGCTCTGCTGAATGGAATCTCCCCACAGCAGCCCCAGGCTCATCTCGATCCACCTCTCCTCTGAGCAAGAACCTTTCCCCAAAGCGTGTTCTGAACACACAACTGCTCAGGATGCTTGGGGCGGGGGGCTGTGGTCCCCTAAGTACAGGACATACTGCACACTCTACGCCTCTTGGAAGTTTGTACTACAGATGGGTTCAGAAAAGATCTGCATCAAGGAAACCTATTTTAATTAATTTTATTTAACCCAATGTTTTCCAAAGGTGACTGACCACAAAAGCCTATTTCACAAAATCTATTTACAGCCTGTAGAACTAGCAGCCTGTGTCGTACACTTTGGGAAACACTGGTCTCCAAGATAAAACCTCAATGACTTCAGAGGCTTATTTCATAAGTGAACACGGGGAGTCTGTGCTGAGCACCTTATACAAATTATCCTGCCTAATCCCCCACTTTGAGGCAGACTCTATCTTGAAATCTACTTGCATCTGAGAAAAGCAAAGCTCAAAAAGCTGAGTGATGTTCCCAAAGTCACAGAGCTTGGAAGCCACAAAGGCAGAACCTGAACTCGGGTCTACCTGACAGCACAGGCCATGATCTTCGTGACTATGCTCTGCCAAGATCTGGGCAGAGTGCTCTGGACCCTATTACGAAGGCAGTGGGAGCTCTTGAGCGTTCTTGAGCAGGAGAATAATAGGGTGGACAAAATGGGGAGGCTTGGAGAGGTGGCTGCACTAGACAGAGAGGGTCTGTCCCTGAGCATCAGCTCAGTACTCAGAGGCCCCCTGAAAGCTAGGGGCGCCTGCTCGGGCCCCATGGCCCGGGCTGTAGAGGTACTCACTGGACCACTTGGTAGTAGCGCTGAAGGAAGAGGGACCAGCCCTCAGGGCTGAGGCACAGCGGAGCCTCCAGGTCCTTGTCGATGTCCATGTGGGCCAGGTTGCTAAGGTGCTCCTCGCAGGCACACAGAGCCTCATCCACAAACTCTGGGGACACCATCACTGGCTTTTTCTCCTGTTTCTTGGGCTGCTTGTCTCCTGCAGAGACAGGGAGGGGGGCTGTCACTGTCCCACATGCAAGGCAGGTAGCGTTGACACATGCCACAGCCCCTACTGCCCGAAGGCCTGAGATCTCATCTTAAATACGCCCAAGGCCCAGCACATACCTGCGTCCCCTACTGCCCTGGGGCCTGTCACTCACCTGAGGCCTTGTTCTAAACTCACCTGTGACCCCAGTGCTTGCCTTTGGCCCCCAGTGTCCCAGGACCTGTCACTCACTTGAGGCTCCACCCTAAATGTCCTGAAAGCATCTCAGCACACACCTGCAGCCTCTCTGTGCTTGGGACCGCTGACACTCCTGAGGCCCTTGTGCCCCTGCTCCTTACACACAACAGTCACCCTTGGCATCGGACACTCCCAGGAGACAGCAGTGGGGAGGGCTCCCTCTGGAAGAGCCAGGGATTTTCTTCCTCCTGGCAGAGCTGCCACTCACTTCCCCAAATCCCTGGCTGATGGGCCCCTCAGGTACAGGATGGAGGCTGAGAGGTGGAGCTGAGTCCAGAGAGGGAAAGGGTAAGCAATTGGTTGGCACACCGGGCAGTGAGGGACTCTCTGTGTCCCCCTGCACCAGGCGCAGGGGTCCTCAGGCCATGTCAAGCTACATGGTTCCACTGATTCCTCTCCTCACAGACCTGAGCTCCCCACAGGCAGGGATGGACCATGCCCTTGCAGTCTGTCCACTCTAGAGTGCTCGGCCACATGTCAGGCCCACATGAGGGCTGAATGAGACAGTGCGTCAGCTAATAAATGGATAGGAAGACACACGGGTGGGTGGCTGGGACAGAAGGGATGAGTGAATGGACCAGAGGACAGATAGGATCACAGGATGGAAAAGGAGCACGTGGATGGGCAGGTGGGTTTGTGGAAGGGGAGACAGGTAGATAGGAAGGTGGAGGGGACAGATAGATGGGAGTGTGGAGCTGAGACAAGGCAGGTGAATGAGTAGATGCACAGAGGGGTGGATGTAGGGGAAAGGATGGATGGATGGATGGGTAGGTGAACGTGAGATCAGTGGGTGAGCAGGCAGGTAGATGGATGGACAAATGGCGGACAGGTGGGTTGGTAGGAAGAGGGGTGGATGTGCAGATGGATGTGAAAAATACAAAGACAGATATGTGGATGAATAGCTAGACGGATATGTGGCTGGGTGGGAGGATAGAAGGCTGGGGGAGTGGAGGTGACCACAGTGCTTACCTGGGGCCTCTTCCTCGTCCGCCTGGATAGAATACGACTTCCCTTGGGAATTTACCACCAGCTTGAGAACGTTGCGGGCAGCTGTCAGCCAGAAGTCCTCTGCTCCCAGGGCAGGGGATACCTGCTCAGCCCCTAGGCTCCAGGTCTGTTCTGGTTCCGGAACCTGATCATGACCTGCCCCATTCTGGATCCGGAACCTGACTACTGTTTCTGACTCTAGAACCCAGATTGCAACCTGGCCCCTCTTTCAACTCTAGAACCAGACCCAGAATCTGACCTGATTTGGCTCATGTTCTACCCTCAGAATCTTGCCTGGACCTGTTGTCTGATTTCTCTCTTCAGTTCCTGATCCATTTTGATACTTATTCTAGCCTGAGAACCAGACCTAGGCCCAAAATCTGTTTCAGATTTGGAAACTAATTTAATCCCGATCCAAATTCTGACCTGAATTGAGAACATGTTCTGGAGTTGGAGCCTATTCTGCTCGAAAGTCCCAAAGTCTAGAACCATTTCTAGATTTGGAAGCTGAGCTAGGCAGTGGAATCTGATACAGGCTTGGAACCTACTCTGGATTCCAAACTCAACGAGGTGACTGACTTTTAGGTCCTGCTCTAGAAAATAAGATAAGCTACGTAAGCTCTTCTGGAGGTCTGTGTTGACCAAGGCAGGAGGCTCATTAGGGGAGGTACGCTAGGGAAAGATAGGGATTGGGGACGGAGAAGGAAATCTGCCGGAGCAGATGAGAGGGGCCCTCTGCTCGCCAACACCAGCCAGGGCTTTAGCCCTCCATCCTTCAGCTCGATGGTCCAGGCATGGGGCTGGCATCTCCTTACCTATGAAGGCCTTTTTGTCATCCTCAGCCCCCAGGCGGTAGCAGCGCGGGAAGAAGGAGTCCACATCGGCCTCGTCAAACCACGGCAGATTCCGGAGATTGAGACACAGACCCACCTATGGAGTTAGCCACTGAGCGGGCAGGGTGGGACCTGCCCAGAGGGCCTCCAAGGGACTCTGCACACTGGGCACACGCTGAGGCAGCTCAAGGAGACCCTGCTTGGACGTGCTCAGAGCCTCTGCCCCACTCGCTGGGCTTCACCCGCTCATGGCCACGTCCACATGTTGCCTGTGTGGTTCCCTCGGCCAAGAACACCCCACGTCCTTCCTCTCCACCCTTTCAAAGTCTTAAATACCCGCCTTCTCTAGGAATCCTTCCCAGCCCACACCAATAATATACTAGCAGGTCCCCAAAATAAGGCCCTTCATTCCTGTCATAACCCTAGAAGATAGGTCTTACTGGTATTCTCATTTAAAGACGAGGAAATTGAGGTTCAGAGAGGTGAAGTCGCCTGTTAACAAACTCAGGTAAGATACAACGGGTCCATCAGCCAGATATCCTCTGCTCAGGAGAGAAGGGTCCTCCTGCTCACAGTCATTGGAGTTGGTGTTTGGATCCCGTTTGGATCCTGGAATCTGTCTTAGTTACCATGTCTACACATGCCAGACACACTGCAGGTGTCAGATTTGAACCCAGGCCTGCCTGACTCCAAATCCCATTGAATTAGATACCTCCATCTCCTGAGAACTCTCACTGACAAGGAGAGTAGGGAGCGGGGTTTTAGCCCCAGGGCTGGGGGTTGAAAGATGCCCTAGCCGCTCCCTGGGAGCTCACCTTTGTGGTAAAAGAGCCTGCCCGGGCATAGTGGTTTATCATTTGATCCTTGGAGAGGAAGCGACAGTCCAGCACGTCCCGCCGAGTGGTCCAGATGAAGTAGGGGATCTCGTTCCGAACCATGCGTGACTAGGGAGAGGGCAGGAGACAGGGAGGCTTGTGTGGGCAGCACAAGGCCTGAGGAGGCTTCTACCCATCCTGCTGAGCAAGGTGGGTGAATGGAAGGAGAGGATGCTTCTAAGGTGCCCTCTAGCCCACATGCCATCTTTGCGTAAGGTTAGAAAAGACATCTCTGTCTCCAGAGCACACTGGGAGCAGCAAGCAGGAGGCACTTTAGCCAGGCGCTCCTAGACAGTAACTAAGCCCCACAACCCAATGCCACACCTTGTTCTGACTTTCGGCCATCAGTGACTTGCTTAGAGGCAGGACTCCAAGCTGATGGGCATACAGCATGTGACAGAGGCTGTCTCATGGGCTCTGCCTCTCTCCATCCTCCCTGCGACTCTGGGAGGTAGGATTATTGACAAGCAAAACAACATCATGTGCCTAGCCCTGTTCTCAGGTTTCCATACTGATTCATTTAATCCTCACCATAACCCTATGAGGTAGGTGCTACTGTTACCCCATTTCACAGATGAGGGAGCTAAGGCACAGCATGGCTAAGTGACTTGTCCAAGGGCTCACAACGTTGGGCCATATGAAACTGCCAGTCCTCAACCTTTCCTGATATACAAAAATGGCAGTTTGGTACAGCTCAACTTAGTAAGAGGCAGTACCAAGATTCAAAGCCAAGTGTCCTCACCTCAACACACATATCCTACATGCCATCATTATCAGCCCCTTTCAGGACTTTGAAAGTCCTTCCTTCCAGCCTTCACTTGCCAAGGACAAAGAAGATGGACTATAGGGTTTTTATTTGGGAGGGAGAATTACCAGGCATGGAGGTTATGCCAGATACAATCCAGCAAACAGTTCTGCTCCCAGGCCAGCCTTGTCTGTGTCCCTCACCACTCTGCTGGCCCGTCTAGGCTGCAGAGAACTAATCAGTTTTAACTACAGAAGGGGAAAGAAACGAGGCTCAGAGAAAGAAAAGACTTGTCTGAGGTCACCCAGCTGGACTCTAGTGCTCTCCCTGCAGCGGAGCAGACCCCTGCCCAGCCCCCTGAGTCCTCACCATCAGATCATGTGTCCCACGCAGGTCATCAAATTCCAATAAATCATCGAAGTCGAGCAGCTGTGGTGGCTGGAATGCTTCATCCTCATCTTCATCCTCTGTGGATGCAGAATCCAGGCCTGGTAAGGCCCCGTCCCTGCCCCATAGCCCCATCTCAAAGCCTCAACTCTGGGACAGTGAGGACCAAATGAAAGGGACTCAGGAGGGGCAGCTGGTGGAAAGGTCCCTAAGGGTATTGCTCACCATCCTCCGTGGTGTCACTGTCACCCATGACGGAGCTATCCAGGTCCTTCAGCTGTGGCGGCAGGGTGGTACCCAAGTGATGGACCATCTTCTTCTCCACCCAGCCCCTGCGGCGCAAGAGGCACCGGATCACAGGGTAGCGGCCTTGGATCATAAAGATCTTCTTCTGCTGTAAGGTGAGAGGAGGACACTCATTCAGTAAGCGCAGCCTAAGTGCCGGACACAGTGGGTATAATGGTGAACCTGAGAGCTACGCTCTCTGCCTTGAGGCAATTTTTATATTCCAGCAGGGGAGACAGACTGTAAACAAGTAGAGAATGACATATGCATAGTAATAATGACAATAATTGTATTTACTTGCTAATATTCATTGAGCATCTACTACACGTTAAGCGCTTACTTTATATACGTTACTAACGATAGTATGTATTTTTAATAGATACTATTATCCCTATTTAACTGGTTATGAAATAGAGGTGTAGACAGATTGAGTAGCTTGGCCACACAGTGGTTAAGTGAAAAAGCAGGAGTTTCAATCCAGGCTGGCTGGCTTGAGAAACTGGACACTTAATGGAGACCCAGAGAAACACAGTCAAGGAAGGCTAAGAAGGAGCCAGGAACGTACAGAGCTGGGCAAATGGCAGTTCAGGTGAAGGGGAAGACATGTGCAAAGGTCCTGAGGCTGGAGAGAGGTTGGAAGGAACTGAAAGGAAAGCAGGGTGAATGGAGTGTGGAAAATGAGGTGAGACCTGACAGGTAGTGGCTAGATTGCGAAAAGCCCTGCAGACCTTGGAACAGACTTGGATTTATACTAATAGCAGCAGGAAGCAGTAATGCGAAGGGAGGGAGTGAGTCACATGGTTGGAGGCTGTAAGTCTGTCTTGCTGTTGTACACAGAATGGATGGAGGGGACAAGGATGGAAGCAGGGAGACCAGTCAGAGAGCTGTCGTGGTTTGTGCAGGGGAGGAATCACAATAGCTAGAATGAGGGTGCTTACAGTCGATAGAGTTGAAATTTGTTTTTGAAATAGAGACTAGTTTTGCTGATGGGATTAGATGTGTGAGTGAGGGAAAAGAACGACCAGATTTATGGCTAGAGCGACTGGGAGATGGAGATGGAGAAGACCAGAGAGTAGTGAGGAGGACAGCTCTGGGCAGGAAAATCAAGAGTTTGGTTTGGGACATGGGTTTGAAATGCTTTTAAGTTCCCTGGGAAGACATGGCAAGGGGGAGGGGGGTGCTGGATCTATGGAGCTCTGAGTTAGAGGACAGGCTGGGCTGGAAAGGGCCTGTAGGGGGCACACACACTGACTGGACTCACAGCCAAGGAGACAGGTGTGGAGAGGGATCCAGGGAACCAGGAATGTTTGAGAAGTCTTCAGAGGCAGCTGAAAAGTAGCCGCCAGGGAGGGAGAAAGGAAAACTAGGAGTGTGCAGTCAAGAGGGAAGGGTATGTGGCGGGGCAGTGCAGAATGACACAAGGTGCCTAACCAAGATCAGGACATAAAATGGACTGACTGGTGGATTTGGTTCCTTGGAGGTCACTAGCGACCTTGATTAGAGTGGTTCCCAATGGGAGTGGGGAAGGGCAGGGAACCACAGTGATAGGAGCAGGGGAGTGAATTCCAGGTGAAGAAATACACAATTCTGCCAAGAAGTTTGGCTGTGAATGGGGTATTGAAAAATGGAGAGGTATTTGAAAATGGGTGTGGGATCAAGGTTTTTGGTTTTTAAGGATGGGAGACAATAGTGCATGGAAGCAGGCCAAGCCTCTCAGGGCCCTTTCTACACCCCCCCTTCCCCATCCCCCTCCAACCTTCACAGCCCTCTCCACGTGGATCCTGGCGTTTCTGAGCCGGCCCATGTGGTGAATCGTCTTGGAGAATCCTCCCCAAAGGACAAGGGAACCTGCAGAAAGATGCAGAGGAGGGGTTGGGGTAAGCACCCTTCATCTGGATGTCCATCCTCTACCGCTCCTCTCCCGACCCCCCCTCCATCCGCCCCGAGTCTTCTCATCCTGGCTGCCACCGCCTCGGGCCAGGAGGGGCAGGCCGCAAGGGGCCTCACCGTCCTGCGAAGGGGTGTCTTCCTGGGCCGGGGTGGGCGAGGGCTCCGGGGAGCGGGGATCCGCGACGCCCTGGGCGTGGTTGCCGTGGTTCAGCAACTCGAGGGCGCAGCCTAGGGGGCGCGCCGAGGCAGGGCTGCCGGCCCGGCGTTGGCCGCCTGCCCAAGCCCCCTCGGGAAGCCGGAACTCGGAGTGGTGCGCCCAGGGCCATGGGCCGGGGGAACTGGTGCGGGGCTCGGGC